ATGGTTGTCACAATCAACGCTTCTTGAGGAAACCAGCCGTGGGGTACGGAATATCGGGGAAGAGCAATACGGAAGTCGAGCTTACCTGAATTCGAGTTTCTCAGTCTTAGGAGAGTTCTCTCTGAAGAAGTCTTCACCACGATCGAAACGACAGTGAAGTTCTCTGCGCGCATCATTGCTCATTTATAACCGATCTCACTCATATTCGCGACGAGGGGTTGAGAGTGAGAATCTGAAAGAGCGCAACCCCGATTCTCGGAGAGGGGTGATTGAGATTCCGAAATTCTGTTTCGGAATGAGGCTCTGTGGCAATAAACCCCAGATGGGGGTCAGGATCTTCAGCAGCAATCGTGTTGCTCTCAATTAGCGCCGAACAGCCGCTGATAGCAACTCGAGGACGGAGAATTCTTCTGTCTGCTAAGGTATCCGATGTGGTGTTCCGTCGCCACATGTTGGACGGGTCTCACTTCTTCCAAAACGTTACCCGAGAGTTTAGATGGGACAAGTGCCTCCCTAATTCCCCGCATGGCATCGCATTGATCTTTCGATGGAAGTCTGAGCTTTCTTCGTGGGTCGGTTCTTTCTTAAAGACACTTCGATCCGCCATTTCTCCGCCCTGTAACCTTTCAGGCTCCCTGCGAACTCCCAAAAAGCGAGACTTCTCCTGACCTTTGTAATTCACCAGGGTAGTTGCTGGAAGCATTCCTCATGGATGTAAGTTCCCGCCAGGTGAATCAGTATTTTTGTGATCTGCTCCCCTAAGTACAGGGGCTCCAGCGTTACATCACTCTCGGAGACCTACGAAACCCCCAGGGATTCGGAAATCGAATGGCGAATACCTCGATTAATTTCCTTCCCATCGATGCATCCAAGTGGTTGGCGCGTTCTGAATTCTGAAAAACACGAGCTATAGAGTCACGGAGTGCCTGAAATTTTGTTGCATGGAGGACGATGTACATTGATTCTAGCCCCTGCGTGAAATCGGAGACTGATCCACGTCAAGAAGGAAACCGAGGGATCTCTCACTCCGGCATGATAACACGAGTCCATCTATGAGAAAAACAGATATACACCTATACGGACAGTCACCGAGACAGGACGAAATGAGAGCTCCAACTTTGATGACTTGCCTGCCGAATGATGTCTATTCTATCGATGAGCTTGTTGTCGGAATAAGTCGATCGAAAACAGTTCACCTCTCCGTCGCTAACCGATTCTGGACAGAGCTGATTGAGTTACTGAATGGATCCGCAGGCGGGAAGATATCACAATTTATTCTCATCCTTCAATTTCCTGGCATATTCTCCCGGGAAAATTACTCATTCCCGAATAGGTGATACTACACGACGACTCATACGAGAGGGTCTACTCCCCCTCTGGTGAGGGACGGTGCCGTTTCAGGCTCGGCTCGTCAAAGGGTGGAGATCGACTTTTTGACTCCCTTGTACTCGCGAGTTGAATCGTCTCGAGGAGCGAATTCTGGAAGGCGGATTCTGCTCCGTTGGCTGGTTGCGGAAGAATCCATTCCAAGAGGGCCTCGCTGGGTCCGGTTGAATAGCGTTCATGGGCCGCTTTGAATATGACACCAGCGACTCCATGTGGGACCTGCGACCTGAATTTCTGGGCGATTATTTTGCTGGTCATCTCAAGCGGAAAGAAGTCCTTCTTCCTTATCGAAAAAGGCTCCTCCTTCAAATCGATGATTCCCTCCTGCGCATATCGCCTCCGGACATCTATGATCTCCCTCTGGATGCACCACTCTCGCACGCTGAAGTCCATCTTCCACATTTTCTGAAGACGGAAATGAATGATGTCGTGGATGAGATAGCGAGGTCTACATATCCCTCCGTCCCGATCAAACACCAACTCCCCATCGAGTAGAGTCGTGAAGAGAGGTTTCGAGGCGTCCTTCGAATAGGGGAAGGAGAAACCAGACACTCGGTAAACCTCATCCTCCTCGCCCAGCAGGAAAGTCACTCCAGGGTGCGTCATGAGCAGGAGGAAACGGTGGCCGTCGGATTTCCAGGTCACCCTATAGGCAGCCTCCGATAATTTTGGTAGACTCCTCTCGCCGAGGCGCGTCCGGAGGGCCCCGGGGAAACCTGGATCCCGGCACCCGGAGAGCTGAGCTGCGAACTTCCGGACCCGTGCAGGATCGTCGGCGATGGTCAACCCGGGAATCTTGGCCATCAAATCACATGATCTTCTCCCGGCGCTTTCCAGGATCGGAAGCTGAGAGGCGGTTATTCTTGCTCCATCTTCGTAGTTGCTCCTGTTCCGGGCGCGATGTGAATCGACACATTCCTCCTCGCAGGCGCCGGCTTCCCTCGGGTTCTCAGGTGTAGAGTCGGGCGCTAAGTCAGGCGTGGAATCGGCTCCATTATCGGTGGCCGAATCGATCCCCTCGTCCGTTGATGGGTCTGATGGCTCAATCTCGCTCTCGGGTTCCGGACGGCACGGCGTACTTCCGCGGGGTTTTTGATCTGTGGATTTTTCCATTTTGGGCGAGCTCTTTGCTAATTTTTGACAAGCACAGCTAACTTCGAAATCTCGATCTCAAGAGAGCTTCTTCCCTGAAGGATACCAGACCACGATCGAAACGATAGTGAAGTTCTTTGTGCGCATCATTGCTCATTTATAAGCGATCTCACTCATCACCACGACGAGGTGTTGAGAGTGAGAATCTGAAAGAGTGCAACCCCGATTCTCGGAGAGGGGTGATTGAGATTCCGAAATTCTATTTCGGAATGAAACTCTGCAGCAATGAACCCGAAATGGGGGACAGGATCTTCAGCAGCAATCGTCTTGCTCTCAATTAGCGCCGAACAGTCGCTAATCGCACAACAAGGACGGGGAGTTCTTCTGTCCGCTGAGGTATCCGAGGAATGCGGAGAAAGAATTGATGGGCCTCATATCTTCTGCCCATGATGTTTCAACACTTTCGAAGACAAAACA